ACCCTTAACGAGGGTTTAGCTGGCAAGTCCTCAACACCTAAACCCTTAACGAGGGTTTAGGTGTTAAGTCCTCAACACCTAAACCCTTAACGAGGGTTTAGCTGTCAAGTCCTCAACACCTAAACCCTTAACGAGGGTTTAGCTGGCAAGTCCTCAACACCTAAACCCTTAACGAGGGTTTAGCTGTCAAGTCCCCAACACCTAACTAAACCCTTAACAAGTGCAGCTTTCTGCAGCCAGCCAGTGGCTGCTGCTGCAGCAAGTTGTTGAATATGAATGAGCTGCGAAGTGCTGGACTTGTGCACAATTCACACCACTGCAAGCAGTACAGACAGTGCATGCAATGCATACAGTGCATACAATGCATGCAGTGCATGCAGTGCATGCAGTACATACAGCAGGAACTTCCGCGCATGCAAGTCCACACCCGCGGCAGTTGGGGTTTCAGGAGTTTCCTCTTCTGCGCAAATAGCTTTCCACAGGCCCTCGAGGGAGCACTAAAAGTCTTTAATTCTTCTATTTAGTTCACCTCGGCTCTGCAGGGATCCTCTACTGCAAGTTGTTTCCACTGTTGGCCTGAGTGTACGTACACCGCAGCGCGCAGCACATTCAGTCGGAGCCTCCGGCTCCGATCTCGGGGTGAAAACGAATCCGCAGTTAATAATTTTTGCATTTCTGGACTCGTTTTTGATTTTTGAATTTATTTTATCCCCCAATTCTCACATTCAACATCTTCGCTGCTGCGCTGATGTCCGCGGGGTCCAGCCCGTTCATGAACGCCTTCTGCAGCCCCCCCCCCGCCCCCTTGAAGGCCCCCTTGTCTTTCAGCGCGAAGTACCGCGGCAAAGACTCGTGCAGCAAAGTCCCCGTCAGCACTCCCCACTCCACCAGGTAGCTGCAACACTCAGCGGCAGAAACCCAAAAAATGCAACTTTCAAATGCATGCACGCACGCATGCATGCATGCATGCATGCATGCATGCATGCATGCATGCATGCAGCTGCAGGCACTCGGCAGCACTCTTGAATTGCATGCATGCAGCTGCAGGCACTCAGCAGCAGTCTTGAGTTGCATGCGTGCAGCTGCGGCATTCAGCAGCAGAAAGCCAAGAACTGCAACTTTCAAACGCATGCATGCAGCTGCAAACACTCAGCAGCAGAAGCCAAGAAGTGCAGCTTTCAAATGCATGCATGCATGCAGCTGCAGGCACTCAGCAGCACTCTTGAACTGCATGCATGCATCTGCAGGCCTCAGCAGCAGAAGTGCAGCAGCAGAAGTGCAGCAGCAGCAACTTTCGCAATGCATGCATGCAGCAGAACTGCGAAAAGGAACTTTTGAAACGCATGCGTTTTCAAAAGTGGCGAAACGAGGCAATGCTGAGGTGTATGGACAGCTCAGTTACCGCAGCGCCACGAGGCTGTTTCTGTTTTCTTCAAATAAACTTTCGTAAAAACCTCTCGTGCCATCGCCCTGAAAGAACAACACAAAAACTTTGAATAATTCCAAAAACGCAAAACAAAAGACTTTGGATAATTTGAATAATTCGAAAAGCTCAAGACAAAAGACTTTAAGTAATTCGAAAAGCGCAAAACAAAAGACTTTGAATAATTCGAAAAGCTCAAGACAAAAGACTTTAAGTAAATCGAAAAACTCAAAACAAAAGACTTTAAGTGATTTGAAAGGCTCAAAACAAAAGACTTTAAATGATTTGAAAAGCTCGAAACAGAAGACTTAAAATGTGTTGAAAAACTTTGAAGAAAAGACTTGAACAAATTAGAAAAACCAAATCAAAAGACTTGAACTAATTTGAAAAACTCAAAAGACTTGAACAAATTTTCAAAACCAAATCAAAAGACTTGAACAAATTTTCAAAACCAAACAAAAAGACTGAACAAATTTGCAAAACTAAATCAAAAGACTGAGCAAATTTGCACAACTTTGAAACAATTTGAAAAGCTCAAATAAAAAGACTGAACAAATTTGCAAAACCAAACCAAAGATTTAAGCAAATTTGCAAAACTTTGAAGAAAAGACTTGAACTAAAAACTAAATCAAAGACTGAACAAATTTGGAAAACTAAACCAAAAGACTTGAGCAAATTTTCAAGACCAAACCAAAAGACTGAACAAATTTGCAAAACTTTGAAGAAAAGACTTGAGCAAATTTTCAAAACCAAACAAAAAGACTTGAATAAATTTGCAAAACTAAATCAAAAGACTGAGCAAATTTGCAAAACTAAATCAAAAGACTGAATAAATTTGCAAGACCAAACCAAAAGACTGAATAAATTTGCAAAACTAAATCAAAAGACTTGAACAAATTTGCAAAACTAAATAAAAGACTGAATAAATTTGCAAAACTAAATAAAAGACTCGGAAAGAAAGTCCCACATTGGGGGGGGTGATGAACTTTTGGCCCTGTTTGAAGTACTTGCGGGCGTCGTTGGGCAAAAGTTGTTCTTCTTCTTCTGCAGAGTTTTCTTTGCGGGCTTTTTGGCTGCGGGCCCGCGGGGCGGCCTTGGCCTTGGGGGCCTTTTTGGGGGTTTTTTGGGGGGCCTTTTCCTTCTGCAGCAGCAGCAGCAGCAGCAGACACAGTTGCTGCTTCGCTGCAGCGGGAACGCAGCAGCAGCAGCAGCAGCAGCAGCAGCAGCAGCAGCAGCAACGCGACAGCTGCTCCCCGAGTCAAGCTGCGAAGAAGCTGCTGCTGCAGCGAACCCACCACCGGCTTCTTCGAGGCCGGCTTCTTCTTCGCCACTCTTTGCTTCAAGGGAATGTCGTCGTCGCTCGAGTTCGACATTTTGCATGCAAAGTCGACAAATGGGGGGAATCTTTCGGCTTTCCGCGGGCAATTCGGACTTGTGTTTTTTTTGCTTTCTGAAAGATGCCAGTGGAGCTGAAAAAGCCGCGAAATCGCAGCAAATCCCGCCAAGTTCCACACAGCCTAGGTGCGGCGGGTCGGAGCGCCGCAGGCCCTGCAGCAGCCAATCAAACCTCCAGACTCGCTGAAATCCGCATCTTCAAGCTTTATAATGCTATTTGGACTTGAGCAGAAACGAGAAACTCGCTGGTTTCGCGCGCTTTCCCTGCAGATCCGCCAGCAGCAGCGGCCGGAGGCCTCCCCCGCTGCACCGCCAGCAAGCAGCGCCGAAGTGAGGCAACAAGGAAGAAAATGATTTCCACTTCTTGTTAAATTCCGCAAAATGACACACACAAACCAGCACAAGTCAAACAACTGCCGCAGCAAGCTCAAGCTTCGGGGCCACCCGATTGCATGCAGCGCAGTGGCAACCACTGTACATACACCGGGGTCCACCGAGGTAAATCGACGCAAGACAAGTAACTCCAGAAGGTAAATCCGTTTCATTTAACTCAAAATCTTCTTTTATTTGACATTTATGGGCCCTTGAGCCGCTCGGAGCTAGCCGTTTGGGAGGCTGGAGTTGTCTGTCGTTCAGTTCTGCATTTCCGCGGAGTGCTCTGCACAAAAGTTCCTTTTTGAACTGAACATCAGAAACCCTGAAACTGCTCTCGCGAAGCTTTAATGGAATTATTTTGAAGCATTTTTCGTGTTCAGCACTCTGCAGAGTTTGGAGTTTCCGATTTGCAAACAAGCCTCAACACAAAGAGGAAACTTGAAAAGAAAGCAGCTCCTGCGAGACTGCAGCAAGTGCTGCAGCTGCTCATGGCTCTTAAGACTGCAGCACAAAATGTCAAGGCCTATTAACAAAACGGCCTTTGCCAAATTTCGCCTTCAAGTTGCTGCTAGGCGGCTCTGTCCCTGCTGCGCGAGGCCTCCCGGGGGCCCCGGAGCCTTCGGCAGCAGCAGCAGCAGCAGCAGCAGCGACAGCAGCGGAAGCAGCAGCAGTAATGGCCGCAGCCGCAGCAGCAGCAGCAGCAGCAGCAGGGGCCAACAGGCAGCAATGCTTTGCGGCTCCTCGAGCCTGAGGCGCTCTCGCGGCATTTTCGAAACTGCAGACCAACTCCACTGGACAGCCACTCGAAGTGGACCACTGGTCACTTTTGGGGCTTTTTCTTTTCCCACTTCGCCGCTGCATGCACAGACTCGCCGCGCGCATCTTGCTGCTGCTGCTGCTGCTGCTGCAGCAGCAGCAGAAAGCCCAGAGGCGCCGCAGACGAGAGAAGATTTGAAACTGGAAGCAGCAGATCCGACTGTGACTGAAGAGCCCCAAGATCCACCCGCTGCCCCTGCTGCTGCTGCTGCTGCTGCCCCTGCTGCTGCTGCCGCTGCTGCTGCTGCTGCTGCTGCTGCAGGCAGCAGCAGCAGGCGCCTCGTGCTGCGGCCAGCCAGCGCCACCCCCGGGGGCCTCGAGAGGCGCCGCGCCATTCGCGTGGGCCATCCGTGGATTTATGACTTCGAAATAGAAAACATAAAAGACTTCAAGAAGCAGCAAACTGGACTTTTGCTGCCAGTCTTCGACAGCGACAGTAAGGCGCAGCCGGCCCCCAGCAGCAGCAGCAGCAGCAGCAGCAGCAGCAGCAGCAGCAGCAGCAGCAGCGGCAGCAGCGGCAGCGGCAGGCGTAGCTGCGGCTGGCGGTAGTGCTGCTGCTGCTGCTCTTGCGGGGAAAGGGTGGCGGGAAAAAGAAACGGAGACATTTTTGAGCAGCAGCTTTGCTGCTGCTTTGCTGCTGCTGCTGCTGTGCTGCTGCTGTGCTGCTGCTGTGCTGCTGCTGTGCTGCACCTGCAGGCAGCTACCTTGGCTCTGGGCTCTTCAGCAGGCAGGCGTCGGTGGCGGTCCGCATGGTCACTCGAGGCAGCAGCAGCAGCAGCAGCAACAGCAGCAGCAGCAGCAGCAGCAGCAGCAGCAGCTTTCCCGATGAAGGCTCTTTCCGCAAGCTGCTGCGCAGCCGCTTTCTTGCTGCAGTGCAGCGCCGCAGGCTTCTCCAAGAACAGCCGCTGCCGCATGCAATCGACGGGAGCACTGCATCAAGCAGCAGCAGCAGCAGCAGCAGCAGCAGCAGCAGCAGCAGCAGCAGCAGCAGCAGGAGCACGGCTGTGCACGATATGTGGCGAGCGGTGGACGGGGAGGCTGACGGAATTCCCGGAGTTGAAGTTGATGTCTATGGATCGGTTTGTGCTGCCTATTGCGACACTTTGCTGCTGCTGCTGCTGCTGCTGCTGCTTTGCTGCTGCTGCTTTAGCTGCTTCTGTATGGCACCGATCCTATTGCGACACTTTGCTGCTGCTGCTGCTGCTGCTGCTTTAGCTGCTTCTGTATGGCATTTCTCTGGCTAGGGGAGGCGCGGTGTCAGTGCAGCTGAAGTTTTTCTGCTGCTGCGTTGCTGCTGCTGCTTTGCTGCTGCTGCTGCTGCTGCTGCTGCTTTGCTGCTGCTGCTGGTTTGCTGCTCGTGGCTCAGGCGGCGGTGCTGCGCCTCTCTGCGCAGTCCGTAATGGAATTAAAAGAAGACTTAATTGATTTAGTAAAAGAAACAATAAACCCCGAGACTCTTTGCATGCAAACTTTGAAGTCCAAAAAAGAAAAACTGGCGCAGGTGGGTTGTGGGGTGGCGGGCGCAGCCGTGGGGTGTACGTACACCCCAGATTGCCAAGTCTAGACAGCAAAAGTGCATGCGCGCATGCATGCATTTTTGCATTAGTTTTATTTGGGACTAAACAATAATAAATATAATAATAATAGAATTGCGTTTTGTGGCGCAAAGAGCCGGAGAAACAACTAGTTCGAAAGCTGCAGCAGCTTTTGAATATTTGCTGCTGCTGCTGCTGCTGCTGCTGCTGCTGCTGCTGCTGCTGCTGCCTTTCAGGGAGGAGCAGAGTATGAAAGTGAGCTGGTCTTGGGATCGGATCCCGTGGCCTGGGTGTGGGCCTGCGGTGTCAAGACACCTGTGCACTTGCTGCTCCCCCCTTTTGCTGCTTGCTGCAGCCACGTGCTGCAGCAGCAGCTGCTGCTGCTGCGCAGACACTGCGCAGGCGCCACAGTGCTGACAGTGAACGGCGCCCTGCGGGGCTTCGGGGTCACCTGCTGCGCCTCCGGGGCGGGGGGCCCCCCTGAGGGGCCCCCCAGCAGCAGCAGCAGCAGCAGCAGCAGCAGCAGCAGCAGCAGGGAGCTGCGTGGCGAGGGGGCCGCCAGCGGGGTGCTGCTGGAGACTTCTGAGGCGCTGAATGCCCTCAACGAAAAGGCAGCAGCAGCCAACTTGCTCTCTGGCGCAGTGTCTTGCATGCATGCAGAAGATGAGTTGAAGGAGTTGTTGGCAATGCGGGCTTCTGGCCTTCGGTGGGTGGCCTTGGCTGCGCAGCAAAAGCCGCTGCAGCAAAACTTGCGAAAAAACAAAAGTGGCGCTTCGCTGCGGTGTTGGCGCGTCTGCGCAGGTTTCGCGGGGTGTACGTACACCTGAAGCCCGCAGTGCGCTTCGCAGCTAGCCACAGAGCCGGCCAGTTTGGCCGCTGGTTTAGACCTTCTTTAAGAGGTTTAGAAGCTCGCTGGACTGCTGCAGCAGCACTGGTGGAAAGGGGGGGCCTTTTGGTGGTTTCGCTGCAGCTGCCTGTACACCTGAGCGCCTGGGCGCTGCGCAGCCTGGCGCGAGCTGTCGAGACAGCCGAGCGCAGGCCGGCGCTCGTGTTCGCAAGTGCGGCTTCTCCCGACTCCAAGTGAGCTTTTCGGGCATTCTTTATCTTTATTTTCTATTTAATTTCAAAAAATAGTCCAAAATAATAGTTCTTAGGGGCTCTGGGTCCGTTTTCTCGTTCTGCGTCGGCCCTTTCTTTGCCCCCACCCGCCAGGGGCTGTGCTGCGGTGTACGTACACCTCATTTTGCAGGCTGCTGGCGACCCAAACGGACTTGTGGAAAGAACAAGTTTTTTGTTTGCTGCTTCGTTAGTTTTGTTCCATTTGCTGCAGTTTGTTTTATTTATTTGCCCTTTTGCTGCAAAGTGCTGCAGCAAAGGGGAAAAAACAAAGAGGAAATGCTTGTCTTTTCTCATTTTCTTCTTTTCTCGATTCAAGTAATGCATTTAGTCTCGCGTTTCTTTTCAAATAGAGAAGAAGCTTTTTAGCTCTTCGCCCCAGCGACAGAGGCATTTAAGGGGGGAGGAAGAAAAAGAGAAAAGAAACATTTTGAATGCAGTTTTGGAAAATAAAAAGAAGACATTTTAGATGTTGCTTTTGCTGCTAAGATGAACTGGACGGGCGGCTCTTCGTTTCCCTCACCATATCCCTTATTGCTGCCTGAGACAAAAATCGAGACTTTAGTCTTGAGGGTTTAGGGTTTAGGGTTTAGGTCTCAGTGTTTAGGGTTTAGTGATTAGTGTTTAAGGCTTAGAGCTTAGCGCTTAGCATCTAGGGTTTAGGGTTTAGGGTTTAGGGTGCAACGCTTGGGGTTTAGGGTGTAGGGTTTGGGGTTTAGGGTTTAGGGTTTGCGTTGGGGTGTCTGTACACCTGGATGAGCGGGGTCTCGAGGAGTTCTGCAGCAGTCGCTCTTTTTTTGGGACATCTTTGCAGCATTTTGCTGACGAGGGTTTGCAGCTCCGAAGAATAAACAGCAGGAATCCGGGGAATCTGCAGCAGCAGCAGCAAACTCACAAAGCCGCGCCACAGCGCTGCTGCAGCTGCAGCAGCAGCAGCAACAGCAACAGCAACAGCACCAATAGCAGCAGCAGCAGCACCACCAATAGCAGCAGCAGCAGCACCAATAGCAGCAGCAGCAGCAGCAACAGCAGCAGCAGCAGCACCAATAGCAGCAGCAGCAGCACCACCACTAGCAGCAGCAGCAGCACCAATAGCAGCAGCAGCAGCAGCAGCAGCAACAGCAGCAGCAACAGCAGCAGCAGCAGCAGCAGCAGCAGCAGCAGCAGCAGCAGCAGCAGCAGCGTTTGCGGACTTGTGCGTTGCAAATGCGGTAGCAAAGGTCCGGCAAGTTCTGGGCCTCGTGGAAAGGAGTTTTGCAGCAGCAAAGTTCGAAGGCGACGCAGCCCACAGCCCACATGTCGGAGGGCGGCCCGTACGGGGAGCCCTGCGAAGTGCAGCAGCGCAGCAGCGCAGCAGCACACAACACCCGCTGCTGCTGCTGCTGCTGCTGCTGCTGCTGCTGCTGCTGCTGTGGCTGCAG